TGGATATAAACATATTTAATCTCCTAATAAAAGGACTGGAAAACTGTAATTTCAACAGTTAGATGCATGAACAGGGATGCCAAAAAAAAATCTGCATATCAAATGTGACCCAATGACTTAACCTTGAAGGCAAAAGCAAGAAAAAATACCTCTTTACTTCACAGGTCAGTTTCTCAAAGAATATTTTGACAAAGCTCTTAAAACTTATCAGGCCTTGTTTGGGAGAGACCTCTGATTCAAAAGGCTGAAAACATATTTTGTTGTACGGTAAACAGAAGTGCTGAAAATGGTCACATGAGCTGTTTCCCTGAGCTTGAATCAAACTAATCCTGTTAAAGCTTAGAAATATGCATGACTCAGTAGCCAAAGCCATGCACGTATTTGCCCTTGCAGAGTTGCTGCCACCTTTCATTGTCCAAAAGTGCTGTGTTGCTGATCTGCAAACAGCCTCTACTGCTGTTTGTTTCCAGAAACAAACTCAGTGCCTCCTGAACTTTTAATAAAAAGGGACTTTTACAGTTTTGAAATCTATCATGTATATACTTCCTATTTGGGTAAATTAGAAGTAAACTCAACATATATGTTATTACTATTGTGCAATTCTACTACTTTTAAAACTTTTTTTTTCCTACTCTCTCACTGCTCCCATTATTTGCTCTATTCTTCCATCTTCTAATGAGATTAACAGTATTCTGTAACTATTTACTACACAATCCTGTCTGCTCTGGAACTAAAGGAATGTTAACTCAAAAAAGAAAAAATAAATTAAAAAATTGTATGATGTGCCTAGAAGGATAATGGAATGATTTGAAATCTCAATGCAGTCCTAAATGCACTAGGTTTCAAGTATCAGGAGCAAATAACCACATATGTGTTATCAAATTTCCAGTTTCTCAGCTGTAAAATGGAAATGATACCTTCCTAAACGATGCAAGAGCACAACCCATCAAATACTAAAATCAAAACCAAACACAAATATCAAGTAAACTAAACTGTACTATTGCAAGAAATTGCCAAGATTCAGAACAGAACACTCTTTTTTTAGCATCCTTGTGAGTGTCAGCCAAGACAGGACAGCACAGAGCACAAGCCAATTCCAACAAGCAGCTCTCCCAAGACTGAAACCAGTGCAAGCTAGAAAGGAATTTGCAGGCTACTTCATATGGCACACCAATGTTTTCCAATTCATAAAACCATCATCTTTTATAGCAAAGACCTCTGTAAGATAAAGTACTAAAAATATAAGGAACTGGACAACCTTTGAGATGTTCTGTCCTCATGCTTCACATACACAAATGCCAGTGCTGCAGCAGTGTCAACAAAGATATCAACACTCATTCCCTGCCTACTTCAGAGAGAGATGTTTAACACCAAAAAAAAAAAAGCAGGAAAGCTTCTACCCTTCACTTTCTCAGATTCACAGATTATTAAATAATAATCAATTTCAATTACTCTGTAATAGAAAACCCTTGTGGTAGAAAGAAGAGAGACTGGAAAGGCTGGTCCTGCCCCTGCACACTGGCTACAGCGAACAACAAAGGAGAATGTCTGGCCCTGTAAAAATAAGTCTTAAAGCAAAAGGAGGTATAGTAAAATCTATTCCTCACAATGACATACAGCACAATCTGCAACACCAACGTGATAATGGCAGAAACAAATTCTAAAACACTGACAAATACAAAAGTAATTAATAATTTCTTAAAGTAGTATTACATTCTTATTTATTCTTATACTACTTAAAGGTACTAAGATCAATGAGCAAGAGAGTTAGTGGATTCTCAACACTTTCAGTGCTGCAACCTGGCATATACACATTCCTTGTCAGGGCCCATTCTGGATAACACCTGGTATCTTCAAAGAATATATTTAAAAGATCAATGAATTACCACTTTGTACCTTGGCACACAGTGGGAAGCTGTAAATGAAACCAGGAATAATTCCATTTCTTGGTTGTGTAAATTTTGCTTCAATGTTAAAATAGATACTACGTATATACAAGGACACTTAAAATGTTTTTAAGTTACAGACACTTGAAGATTTCCCAAATTTGCAGACTACACCTGTGTACCTATTTGTATTTACACATACACAAAACTTCAGGGAAGTAAAGTTTTAAAACAGATCTGAGAGGTCTGTGAAACTACCCAGCAGCCTTGTGAGTCACACCCCCACTCTCAGGGTCAATGCCAACATGAAATTTGTATTTTCTGTATTCATTGTGCAATTGATGGGATGCATTACAGCATTCAAATTTCTAGTGCTGTGCTAATTCCAATCTCAGACTAGACCATTCAGTTTCTTAATTCCAGTAAAACTTACTTTCTATAATGAGTAAGGCATAAGAACTCATCACTGGTGAACATGAGAGTTGCATCTGGACACCAAAAAAAGTGCATACAATTCTCTTTTAACCCTTTCTAGCAAACATATTGAAGGATTTTTTGGTGGTACTTTAATTCCTGCATATTCAGATAAAATTATCTTAGATCTTTATGAAAGATATTTTTATGCAAGACATTTACCGTTTTTATATCCTGGAAGCTATTACTTTTTAGCATATGGTATTCAAATTCACAAATAACAAGTTACTATTAAAAAAAATGGCATTTCAGGTTTTTCCATTGGAACAGATTTTAATGTACAACGATTTCAAGTGCAAATGCAACAGAATATGCAAGTGTGTGGGAAGACATTTTAAACAGTTCTTCTTTATAGACCCTGTACTGGGTATTTAATGAACAGAATGCTGAGGAAGAATTTCACTCCAGACAGTTATGCTAAGATAAATTAGTTGAGGATATAGGCTATACTTGCAATATTAAAATGTAAAGAACCATCTACTCAACTACTTAACATGTTTCAGTTGGAGCCTACTTTTCCTGGCTTCTATTGCTTTTTAGATTATAGTGTTACTGTTACCTTAAGACACACTGCTTGCCCTTGCTGCTGCCTTTTTCCTTCCTCTGAGACAGGATTCCTATGGACATCCACAGAGCTATCTCAGCGTGCTTCATCAACTGGAACTAAAGCAAATCGAGTGACAGATCATTTTTGCCAAAATCTAGTGAGCCCTGGAAGCAGCTCAAAACAGAAAACTCAAGTAGGAGCCTTGAGTAAGACTGGGCAAAGCTGCCCTAGAATCAAAACATCTGCCTTTATGTAAAGAATCCTTCACAACTAGGAGTCTCCTACTATCCCTATTTCCAGCTGATGAAAGATATGCCAGATAATGATGTAAGGTCCAAAGGGCCACAAAAAGACTGACTGAAGCCAACATAATGAGCACTTCTACTCCACAATCTGGATTGACAACAAAAATTCCAAGATCTGAGAATTTAGTAAATCAGAAACCCAAGAACATTTCCTCCAAGTTTCTATTTTCAATCAACTGTGCACCTGGATTTTTAGCAGTTTAATCCCAGTTTCCTGGGAAATGTCAGGCAAAACAGTGAAAGTTGTTGCCAAAATCAAAACACTGAATCTATTGTTTATTTTAAACCTTCTTGTTGTCATCTTCTAGAAAGCAATTAGACTGCTTCACAAGACCATTCTTGAAATTTTCTTAGCTATTACACTCCTCCTCTTCTGCCAGGTACAAGCTTGTCCACCAGTTCACTGTACAAAAACCCACACAAATTAGGTTGACAGATGTTTAAATATCCATTTTCCACAATGCATCCCTCTATGCTTATCTAGCCTTCTCTTAGCTACCAAGACCAGTCTTTCACAACCAATATTGGAAATCTGTATGCCTCTGTATCCATTGCAGAGCCACTTGCTTAGTTTGGTATAAATTTCAAGGACAACACACAGCTAGCACATTCCCCTTCCATCAGAATAACTGTCTTTGTAAAATACTTACTGTCAAATAACATTAAAGTCTCTATTAAAACAAAAAGGGGTCAAGAGAAAAATTACTTTGCAAACCACTCTTCTGGCTTCCAGAAACTCACTTAAAACACTTGATCAATACAAACAGAAAATCAGGATCCACTGTTCTCACAAGCACCAGGTAGTACAATGTAGCTGCCTTGCTTTGGATCAGAAGGAGCCTGGCATTACCTTCTGTTTTGTATTGAGTTGCTCTATGTTGAAAGCTGTCAAATCAATCAACAAGAGGGTTGGTTTGGTAAGTTACAGACAAAGTGACATTTCACATAATCTGTGTTGCTTATCTATTACTGTAACTGTTATTTTCCTTTTGTAGCACCGCAAGGATGAAACAGTAATGAACTGAAAAGGCAAAGGAGTGCAGCTGATAGAAATTTCCATCCCTCCTTTCAATTTCAAGAGACAATTGATTGACATAAGTCAATGCAACCGACTTCATTCTCATAAATACTAGTCACAAACCCATAGTCACATCCTATCCAAAGGAAGAGATAATAGCAATTCTCAAACTGATCAAACGTTCATGCCAGTAGGTAGAGTAGGCTCCAGTTTAGGATTTCCTGAAAATGGGACTGTGCTCCATCTATGTACCAGAGATAAAGCAATACACGACAGAGTTGCCAGCCATTACATCATATATTGGACAAATATTTGTGTATATCATCGAGTATCTCCAACAAGTTGAGCTACAAAAATTAAATTTGCATAATACTGTAAAAATTCCCAGGAAACAGCCAGACAAAAACCTAACATGTAACAGCCTGCAACATGTGCCAAAAATATATCCATGCTGAATGAGACATCAATTAGTTGAAGAAAAAGCCCTTAAATACAAAAATTGAACACCAAGGGAAAGGCTTGAATTGGATAAGGGAATCTCTGAAACCTAGATAAGACAACAAAATATCTGTGTTCTCCCTACACTCAGGACTCCCTCAAAGAAAACAGTAGCAAGAACAGGTAAAATGGAAAATACACAGCTTGCTGGGTCAACATAAAATTAACACTGTCAAATGCAGAAGGGCAAAAGTTCCTTCCTAGTTTCACTTAACACACAAATTACTGTAATTCTTACAAACATTTAAGTAGGAAATAAAAATAGAATTTACCTTTGAATGTCTCCAGTTCCTTCCTGTTGGAGAAGAGCAGAATTAAAAAAATAATTAGAAATACCACATGTAGAACTACAGGATTTATTTTACATGCTTTAAGACTCACTAAAAGACAAAAATCAAAGAATTTGACTGTCACCATATATATAATGGCAATATTATTACATGTAATAAACAAAATCAACCTGTTTATAAATCAGGCCACTACCTCTTTATAAACATGTACAATTATACAAATATTGCACATTTATATCTAGCTACATAATTTCCAGATACACTGCTCCAAAAACAACCAAGACTTCCTAATGCGTTAGTTACTAAAGCATCTTTTGCTTAGCAGAGATTTACCAATTTACAGCACAGTGAATAACAATCTGTGTTCAATTTTCATCAAGGCTATTCAAAAACATCTTGGCAAAACTGAAGGAGAAAAATTTGACAATATCACTCAGTTAAAATGGAAAGACAGGCAAAGAGACATACAGTGACATTCCTCATTGCTTCAAGTATGGAATATGACACATAGCCCACAGTACTCATGTACCCGAAAGCTAAGAAATGAAGAAAAAGATAATAATATCTTTTTTGCCTCATACCAGGCCACCTTTCACTTTTAGTGGTTATGCAATTGTGAATGCAGAGGCTATAAAATGAAGAGAAATACTTTTTCTGTTTTAAAGAAATTGCAAAATGCTCCAATTGTCATTTCTACAAGGTAGTGATTCATCATGAATTCAAAGGCTAAAGAAGAATCAATGTAATAATTGAGATAAGGCAGAATGCTGGCCTTACAAAACACTCATTTACATAAAACATTTTTTCAGTCTGCACCTCACAGAATGTCTAGTTAAAGTCTGAATTTTGAAGCAAAAGTGACTGTAAGAAAAATAAATTAAAGACTGAATTCACAATTGTCCAGATAAATTATTCTATTCTCTATCCACAGACTAAAGCACTCTTCAGCCACCTACCAGAGACACTGTTTCATAATACAGATGCTATACCATAATAACTCCTCCTACCCCTTAACAGATTCAGCAATTCAGCATTTATTCTTGCATCAAGAACAGACAAAACTCACACAAAGCTGAAACAATTTTTTCTTAAGCAGGGTAAAGTATTCTAAAAGAAGCAAGAGAATGCATTTACCTCCACATTTTCAGAAAGCATCCCACTTTCGTCACCGAATGTTAAATACACGTTTTTGAAAGAATGGGTGCTTTACCAGGAAATAAGCTAGAGTGTGATTCACAGTAAAGAATTCTATTAGTTGCAACTTCCTGTGAGTATCTATTTCCTTTCCTGCTTCTTCTCCATCCCTTTCCCAAGCCAGTTTCTCCCTTTTATACCAGAGAAAAAAGCTACTTTACAATACCTGTGATTTGCAGGCTCTTATCCCAAAACAATTTTCCTAGCCTGCATACTCTAAACAGAGTTACAAAAGTCCTAAACACTCTCACAAGTTGCCCTCCTTAATTTTTTTTAATAATGGAACAGTAGTTGAGTAAACAACAATCACAGGAAATGGTTGTTTTCCATTGACTGAAACAAAACCATAGTGGAAGAAACATCTTGTGAAAGTAAGTGGGGAAAAACTACATTACATGCACCTAAAATCAGGAGATTTTATGACACTTGTCTACAAAAGGAAAGATGAAACAATTACTGCCATTGTGTTGAAAGAGGTTAGAAAACAAGATGGCAATACAGTAACCAAGTGGCAATCACTCATTTTGTCTAAACCCCCAGAATTTTCCTTTTCAAAATCCACCAATATTTTTAGGGTTAAGATGCACTATGTTGTTCCTATATCCATATACATAATTACCATTCATTAAGAAAGTTGGAAATTAATATTTGACAAAAACTTTTTTCCCTCTGAAAAATTAAAAGTATCTATGATTAGCATACAGTAAAAACACAGACTTGAAATTTAAGGATCTGTATTTCCTCGTATCCTCATACCAATTCAGACTCAAAGACTGAAGAGTTTATATTTTACACAGCATGAAATAGTCATATATTATGGTTTCTCACAAGACTTTCAATAAAACTTCTATTTAGAAATGTATAATAAAGTACATGCTTATTGAAACCATGTTCAGCATTGGCAGCATGGAAGATTTTTTTTTTAAGTCAAATGATCCAAATAAAAACTTCTAAGTTTAAAAATCTTAATCCGTAATCCCATTTATCAGCAGCTTTGGTAAGAACATTACACTAAACTGAGAAGTGGAAAGGAAACTGACTTGTGATGACATTGGAAAAACAAATGGCTTACGAGTATATCAGTACATTTTCTAGTTGGGTAATTAAGACCTGGCACACAGATGCACAGAGAAAAACATATAATAGAGTATTACATTTCTCCCCTTTACAAGTAAATAAATGTATTTGTATTTACTGATAAACTGCCAGAAGGAAGATACCTCCTGTCTTCTCTAAGAGTCTAGAGACAAAAAAGTCATCTACAATATACACTGACCTCACATTAAAACTGAACTTCATACTTGGAACACAATGTAAAGAAACAGCAATTTGTGAGAGTAATTAAAATGAAAAGGATTAAATTGAAAGCAGTTTTAGAAAAGTGGCCTTCAAAGCAAGGTTAAAAGACAAGCAGGAGGAAACATGTAAGGCAATTGAAAGCGCTCCATAGGGAAATGCTCCTAGATTTTACAGAGTTTTCATCCAAAAGGACATTCATGCACTTCACAGATGGATGAGATAACTCTTTCCACTACTATCAGAAGGAAAACACACACCTGCCTTGCCTCTGGCTCAGCACACATGAAGGCTCTTGAAGCCCAGTGTGGGCTGCTCAGCATCTGCCCAGGATTAAAGGAGCTCCCACGCTGGCTCTGACCACTATTCAACACAGCTACCTGGCATCTCACTATATGCTCTTCAGCTGCTAAATTTTAGGTTACTGACAAAAAACCTGGCTAGGGACTCATGTAAGAATACATTTTACCTTTTCATAGTTAACAGTAAGCTTTCAGAAGAAAGGAGTAAATTAGGAAGCACATTATAATATAAATAGCTCTTTTTAGTGAAAGACTAAGTTCAGCACCTCTGAGCAAGAAAAAAAGGTTAAAATAATAGGCTAAAGTCTAACATAATCAGACTGTAAAGGCATGGAGACACTTGAAAAATAATCTCCTTCTGTATGTGGAGCAATTTACAAATCCCAGATTCTTTCCTGAGAGGCAAGAGGCTGTACAGGCTCCACTGACATTGAGGTTACGTCCATGAAAACTATCTGGCCACACATACAGGCAGTAGTGTTAATCCCTGCCATTCCAGTTGCTTGTTTTCATAAAAGAGATGGGGGGAGGGGCACTTAATTCCTCTGTGAAATTCTGTATACATCAAACTCAGTTACCAGTTTTTACGATACCTGGAATGTTCTAATGATGATGCTGTCAGTGGTCTCAACTTCTTCATTTACAGAAAAGTTAAGATTCAGGGTTTGTGGTAAGAATTGTGGAGACAACAGGTGAAACAAATAATCTAAAATATATGACTTGTCCCACAGGGTAACCATGACATGACCACTTAGAGTTACAATCTAGTTAGAAGGCAGATCCAAATTCCCAAGGACCTTCCCATTCCCCTCAGGCTTTTCATTGCATTGTTGGATTAACCCTGCTCTAGCCACTGAGCAGATGAGATGGACACTAGGAAGACTGTGCTGGTACCACTGACAAACCAAAATAAACCTAGAAATCAGAATATGGGAGGACCAGGAGTTATAACTCTCCTGCTTTGAATTACTGAGATCAAAGGGAATTTGATTTGTTCAGCAACAGTAAGGAAAAAAAAAATCTCAGGCTCTACTGTAACTTGCAATGGGCTGTAACACTAAGATCGATTTCCTAAGTGTAACTAAACATCAATGAATCCAGTTAAATACCTAGGAGACTACAGAAACACCACATTCCTTACTAAGATGCCACCAGCCAGAATTGACAGAATTTCTTACTTGATCTTCAAGAAGAAAACAGGCAGATAAAAAAAGCAACAAAGTCCTAAATTGATGTCAGGAACAATTTTCTAACACGAGCTGTGAAAGCAACACTCGGTAAACTCCAAGTACTAGACTCATATATAAACAAAAGACAATATCAAGACAGAATATGAATGCTAAAAATTGAGGCTTGAATTGGAAAGATTTTACAATTATACGTGTTAAATAAATGTTGAGTTGTAAATACTATTTACAAAAAATGTATTTGAAGAAAGTACAGATGCTTATCAGCAAATTAATCTAAAATATTTATGGCATCTAACATGATTCAACCCAGAAACTGAGAAATGCTGCATTTCTTCTGCTATGTCTGGTACAGTTAAGTTTTCAAAATTATGCATTAAAAGAAAATCCTTCCATAGCCTGACTCAAGCTTTAGTAAGCTAAAAAGCCATGGGATCTCTCCTGTGGGACTTTCCTCTGGATATCATCAGAAGTAAAAGCCAAAAAACAGAGAACTCAAAACCTATGACATTTGAATGGTAGTAGGTTTTTGGGGTTTTTTGTTTGTTTGTTGTTGTTGTTTGGTTTTTGGTTTTTTGCCTTTTTTTGTTTGGTTGGGGGGGGTTTGTTTTTTGTTTTTGGTTTTTTGGGGGGTTTTTTTGGTTGGTTTTTTTGGGGGTTTTTTTGTGGTTTTTTTTTAATTTTATTTTATAGTTAGTATTAGCACTTTCGTCAATCCTGACACAAAACTGTTCTCCCCACATCCCTGAGATTGGCTGAACACCCCTTGGAGATATTTAGTACTTCGACATACACTTGAGACTGAAGCAATGAAAAACCTTTGAGTACTGAAAAATTAGTAAAAAACAACACTATTACTAAACCACTGCTGGAATTGAACTGCAGACAAGGGTTTCTATTCATCTGACAAAACACTGAAGACAGGTCAGGATTCTCCATCATCACAAGTGACATTTTAATCACCAAAACAGCAGAGTGGAGAACTAAGGAATTTCAATAATATTGCAATGGAGATTTTTTTTTGCT